TCTCTAAACTATTTATCAGGAATTCCATTTTTGTAGCCGTTAAATAAAGGAGTAGCTATTGTAAATTACCTTCTTTTAAGATCTGGTTCAAGGACAGAGTTCTTCCGCAATAAATTTGGAGATCTTACCAATCCTACCTCTCTCCTGACCCCCCAAGTCACACACGTGGCAAGTGGACCATCTAAACAAATGATATACATAATTAAGCAGGCTGGGGTGGGGGAGACTCGGGGAGTCAATCATCAAACACCAATTTAGAAAGTGCCACATGCAGCATGGTGATTAAAACCTAAACATCTGGAGAAAATGCAAACAGTGTTTAATGCTGGCAGGTACCAAGAGACTAGCAAGGATGATCAATGTGTTCTGGGGAACAAGGGTCCTATTTATAGGGCGAAAGTCTTAGAAGCATCTCTCAGCAGGCATAATATTAATTAAGATGTGATAACAGAACAGAGAAGGACTAAGGATGGAAAAGTGACACAAGAAATAAAAATCTAACACTGTCTAGGTTTTTTTTTTTTTTTAATCTCTCTGTGAGGAACACTGTGCAGAGATCATAAGATTATAGCAACTAAATGAATTGACTGCAGCAAGATAAAATTAAACTAGCTTTTTTTTTTTTCCTTTTCGCTTCCATGAGTTTTGTAGCTTTAATCCCCGAGGATGCTACACACACCTTTGAAGGGAGGGCAGCTAGAGTTGTCTGGGAACAATAAGACAAGCATCACTGATAAATAAGGCAGAGTACAAAGACCTTTTCTTTTTTAAACACAATACAAATAAATGCTGGAGAGAATTTGAAAATGGAATGGAGATTTTAACACTGCTTTGGGGTTGCCTTTTATTCACGAATATTAGCTCTCCTCAGCACTCTCTGGACCACAGCTGTTCTTTTCAGGGATGAGTTAAATCATCCGTTCTCAGAGAAGACTGTATGTGCAGCCTAGAAACCTCTGCAGACATAGACTACAGAGATGTACTTTGAACTGGACGTGTGGAACTGTTCTCCTGTAGAGACATGGTAACAGGTAGCTACCCTGACTCTCCTCTGGCACTGGGGCCAACTCAGCCTTGTCCTTTGAGACCATCTCCTTTATCAGAGAGTAGGTGCAGGATTCTTTCTACAAGAACGTATGAGTGAGTGAACATAATACTTAGGGGCAGGCTTTCTGTGTCTCTTAGTCAAGACATGCTAGACTAACATATAATGTGGGGACAATTTTTACTATATCAAACATATTGAAGGAATCTGTTGTCATTTATCTCAAACAACAAAGAAACAGACAGTGTTTGATCATCAATTTAAAGTGTAAATAGGGTCTGTTTTATTCTGGACTCTGATCCCAGTGATGTCCTTAACAAGATGCCTGCAAAGCAAGGGCTTGGTGCCCACTGTTTGAGACTCGATGATTAAAGAACCACTCTTGTTCTCACAAACAGCTAAAAATAGCACAAGAATGTGAAGACAAACAGGTTTCTGGGAACACAGACAGCTATGCAGAATTTGTCTGCTTTATTTCAATTGTTCCCACTGATGCAAAACACAGAAAGGAAGATCTGGACATGAGAAGCTAACTTGTCAGATAGCACACTGGAGAGCTAAAAGACTTAATAACATCCTTTATAGGATTCTCCTTTTCACTGGAGAATTTCAGAAATCCTGAACTGAAGTAAGCTTGAGAGCCTTTGTCTTGCATAATTAGTAAAGCCTGATGATGTGCTGTGTCTCTTCCTCCTCATTTTACATCAGTTTTATATTCTGTAGAAAACATTCTCATTTTAAGGTGTTGCAGAGGCAGAGGTATTATCTCTTTGGTTCAAATGTCTTATTCCAGTAGGTATATATTTCATAGTGATAAATTTTCTTCAAAAGCAGAAAAACTGTACACAAATACATTGCTATGCCAACTTTATTGATTTTTTTTGAATCACTGTAAAAAACATTCATCATCCTCCTGTATGTCTTAAGTCTGCCAGAACCTCAGTGGCCCTGAAGGTTCCATTTCCCTTGGGACGCCTTGGTTTAGGCTTACTCAGGAACATTGTAACCCAAACATCACAGGACCAACTCTGCATGTGGGAAGCATCAATCCTGGAGAAGCTATTCTCTCACAGCCACAGAGAGCCAGTTCCCTTTTTTTTTTTTAAAGAAAAATTTGCTTTTCCAAGCATCAATTCAGAAATCTAAATGTCCCCTGGCCAGATGTTTAGTGTAAAGTGAATGGTCAGTACAGGTTAGCCATGCACCCCCATTGGTATGAATGCATTTGGCAGACTGGATTTTGTATTATTAGCCTTTTGTGTCCTCCCTTCTGGCTTTCTTGTCTCCAGTAGACTATCTTCCTCTGAGAGCCAAACTAAATCTGCTTCCTAAAAAAGTGTTGGTTTGGGGACCATCACCATGCATCCAGCATATATAGAAATGGCTGCAATCAATATTAGGCATTGCAGTCTTAAAAATCATGTTCATTTCAAATACCATCAATAAAGCAGACACTATCACTGGATAAGATCAGTTCTAAATTTCAGCTATAAATTCACATCTTCCCCATAACATGTTACAAATATAAACAATTTGCCCAAATCAACTGCCAGGTAGAAACACATTCAGGGCAGGGACAGTGATTTCTGAATCTCAGTTCAAGGTGTTTTCAATTAGACATCACTTTGGCTTTTACTACTGTGGTATGGGATCTTGGAATTTGGGGCACTGGCTTTTGTGTTTGTTTATTTGTTGCACTCACGACATCACGCTAGTGTGGAGGTGAGAGGACAAGCTGTTCTCCCCTCCAGTGCATGTTCCAGTTGTCAAGCTTGACAGTAAGCACCTCTACCCACTAAACTGTCTCACTCCCCTTATTTCTCACTTCAACCTCCATTGCCTAGCATACAGTTTATTGATTGTTAAATTAAATTTACTAAAAATGTGAACTAGAACTAAAATCAATAGAGGAGATAGAATCAATTTAAAGCCAGAAAACAACTAAATCTCATTATGAAACTGAAGGTTGGAAGTTCAGCTCCACATCCCAAGGCTGTATACAGCAGACCAAAATTGTTTAGATGGAATTATTGAAGACAGCCAAGTAACTAGTCAATAAGCAATGCTGAGGGTACAGATCTCATACTAAGCTGTGCTGTCCCATGTTGTGATCTTCACCAAACGTAGTTATGTAAATAAAGTTAACTAAAGTTAAATGGGGTTTAAAATTCAGTTCCTCGGTTATTTAAGTCATCTTTAAAATATCCACCAGCCATAGGTTGCTAGTGTCTAAAGCACTAGACATCTTAGAAGAACATTCTGATTATCACAGAATGTTCTCCTGGACAGTCTTAATTATAGGGTATAATCACTACTATTACTCCCTATAATTTTATGAAGCAGGAGGAACAGGGTGGTAAGAAAGAAAAATGAAGTGCAAACATTGATTAAGCCTGTATTGTTCTGTGCTGAGCACTTGAATTGTCTAATGTCATACATGCCTTACAACTGTAGTCACAAGACAAGTGCAATCATTATGCCCACTTTAAGTCTAAGGACACTGCGCTTAGGTAGATGAAGTAAGTCATCATAGTTATCTGTTCAGCCTTGAGCTTAGATGGGTCTCCACTCCAACCATCCAAATCCAGAGTCTACATCCATCTGTAGAGCTGCAGTTACTAGAGAACTTAACATGATTGGAGCCAGAGGGAACAGTGCATCTAATACCACATGCATGTCAGAAGTATGTGAGTAGCATCATAAGGCGCTTGAGCCCTGATCCAGAGCAACAGGGGTGGAAGCAGGATGGCACTTTTGGCATCCACCTGGTACTTTTGATATTATACTCAAGTTGAGGATGGTAGACCAGAAGACAGGAAATTCTGAACATGCTAACAGTATTCAATGGTGACTCTAAGAGGAGAGACTAGGTAACAATTCTGTTGTCAGGGTAACAGAACCAGTTTAGGAAATAATGACTGGCAGCACTCTGTTGGGTCTTGGTGGATATTATCTGTTCTCCTAAGGCTGGGATGCTTCTGGTTCACATGACAGGATTCAGGTTGTGATAATATAAATTTATAAAACAAATATGTAGATATAACATTTTTCTACCTTTGAGAGATTTGTCATTAGTCAAAGATTTTCTTCTGAGAACAAAGCTTTCTGAAGATCACCCCACTTGGTAGAAGAAAACAGAGAAGACTAATATAGTAGAACATTTATGATTACCAAGGAGGAAGCATGGACTGTATAGTTGATTGCCACCTATAACTCTCAGATAAAAGCAAGGTATTTATTTTCTCTGAACCTCAGTTTCATCACATTAAATAAAGATGATAATTCCTAAGGCAGTTCACAGTCAGGATCTGTGAAGAGATTAAAGCCACCTCTTCACCAAATTTCACTCTCTTTGGCATGCTGTACCTCCATCCTGACACTAGTGTGCAACCTGAACAAACCCGAGAAACTAAACGTCTATAATTCCCTGACTGTTATGGGACTATGCCTTCCCATAAACTCTAGCTAATCTACATATGCCATGTCAAGAGAAAGCAAGGGTGTGTGTTGAAAGCTCTCCTTTTTTTTTTTTTTTTTTTTTTTGGTTTTTTCGAGACAGGGTTTCTCTGTGTAGCTTTGCGCCTTTCCTGGAACTCGCTTTGGAGACCAGGCTGGCCTCGAACTCACAGAGATCCGCCTGGCTCTAACTCTTGAGACTGGCAAGCCAAGAATGTTTGCAGGACAGTCAGCAGCCTCTTCTTGGTAAGACTTGTCCCAGCAGCTGCCTTTCTTAAATGGAAACAACAGGGCTGGTCCCGACCCTTCAGTTTCACAGCTGCTGATTGGAAAATTATGAGACGTCAGGCATGTTGCCACCTTAACACCCATCAACTTAATTTTACATCTCTTATCCTAGCTTTACTTTAATGGAATTTTAGGTAGCAAGAGTGGTTAGTCAAAAGCAAGACAGGAGTCACGTCATGAATCAGTAGCAAGCTTTATATCCATATCTTACCTTCCGCTTGTTGGTCGGACACACATAGAGATAGCTTAAAATTGTCTTCAACCCCACTTTATCATTCAGCTTTTCATAGGTTGTCCCATAATCGGTTGACCTGTAATTCAAAAAATGCTTTAATGAGCACAGAAGTGTACATCATTTGGCTGCTTGTCAGTGTAATGCATGTTTTACATAGTAGAATGGCTCTCAGGAGGCTTCTAAATGATTCATGCAGTATATAATGATGCTTAATTATGTACACAGTAGCATCATGTGAGTGGTTAACATTTGCATTTAAATTGAATTGGTAAAAATTAAAACGCCATCCCTCAACTGCTCCTTAAAGTATGCATTTTGCATAATGGATGAGATTAATTAAAAGAGATTAATATATGAGGACACCCTTTGAGTTGACCACAAAAGTAAAAGAATTTTTAGTAGATACGACATTTCTAAACTTTTGCTTTATCTCTGACACAGTGTAAAAATCAGGGTGTCCTGATTTGACTACAAACTATGCTTTCACCCTTGGTCATAGAATACATGGATTACTAGTCCCTTTTTTAAGAGCAAGGAAAATGTCTTCAGAACAAGTAAAATTTCACAACCTTCCCGATGCCCTTTTCTAATCCTAAACTGCATGAGTAGAAGGTTATCAACTCTTGGCCCTGAGGTTCTTGTAAAGTCCTGTCAGTATTTAACCACTTATCAATAAACTATTAATCAGTTAAATAAAACAGGTTTGATCATCTTTTTAATGAAGGTCTACTTTGTAGCCTAAAGTTTTAATTCCATGGAACCATCATAGATAGTACAGCACAGGAGGGGTTATCAGAGTTGGAATAAAGTGATCAATAACACCCAAATGACCTATGCAAAGAGAACAGCTGAAAAATGGGCTATCGAAAAAATTCATCCAGGTTCTGTCCCTTTCCTGCAGGTTGTTTTAATTTTTCTTCAGCTTTTAAAAAATCATTATTGAAGAATATAGCTCTATAATTTCCTCTCAGCCTCTTTTTCTCACAAAGGAAGTTTACAGTGAAATCCATTGTGTCATCTATATTTGTGGAGTTAGTAAAATGGAACAGACTCTGTGCTGAGTTGCAGGATGCAACACACAGGGCCTTCTCAAGTACCTTACAGCCAGCTCACCCCAATAACAAAAAAATTAATGGGTATAGTGTGATGAGCACAATGATCAAGAAGCATATTAATAATACTTAGAGAATAAAGTTGGTTTAATTTGAAAAGCAAAACAATAGCATTTGAATTCATTTTTGATGTTGATGACTCACAAACATCTACAGGACATAACGAGTGAAAGTGAGAGACAGATGGATTAACTGTCTCAGTCTCTTACATTCAGTGCCAACTCTAGGCATTAGGGAGATGCTCAGCCACCCAAGTGCTTACCACATAACCATGATGGCACAAATGTTTTAACTTCAGCACCCATGCAAAGTCAGGTGGAGGGTGACAGGCAGATCCAAGGAGTCTCTGTCTGTCCAGCATAGATGGAATTAGCTCCCTCCACATTCAGTAAGAGACCCTTCCTCAAAATATAACATGGAGAAAGTCAGAAGAAAATGCCTAGTGTTAACTAACTTCTGGCTTCTACACACTCACACATGTATGCACACACATAGACTACACAAACCTGCACAAAAACAAGATAGAAAGCAATTGAGAAGACACAAGGTGTTGATGTCTGGCCTTGAGGTGTACACATACACATGTGTACACACACCATACAGGAAGAGTGTACTCCAGACTAGAGACTAGATCCACAAAGCTGTATAAAGTTATTACTAGAAATAAGAATTTTTCTGACTTGGTATTCAGGATAGTTCACCTGAAAATGTTACACAAATGATAAGTACCAAAAAGCCAGGAATTTACAAGGCTTAGATAGCATCCCACAGCATGGAAGAAGGAGTATTAAACAAAACTACTTGAAAGAGTTTGGATGTTTTCAGAGGAGACGATTTAGAAAGGGGAAGTAGGCAAAATCTCAGGCACTAGCAATGAGCCTGTGCAAATACAGTGCATGACTTGGTTTACTCAGGAGTAGAGTCTGGACCTCCACAGTCAGACAGGCATCCCCTGACAGCAAAGAAAGCCACAAAAGGCTTCAGAATTCTTTCAAAAGAATGTTTCTTGTTTTATTCCTCTCACACCAATCCTTTTTCTCCTCAAATTCCCACTATATGTGAGGAGACATGCTGCTACTTTCAAAGAAATGTTTAAGATTTCTTTCCTCACTCAGACCATGATGGATGTTTGGATTTTTCAGTTCTTTCCTTAGTCATCCTCAATGAGCATTTCTCTGCTAGGACTTCCTCATCTCCTAGATTTTGTTAGATTTTTTTTCAACTGTGTGGGTGCATGCCTGTGTGTGTGTGTGTGTGTGTGTGTGTGTGTGTGTGTACATGCAAGTACACATGAGTGTTTCCATGTTTAACTATTATCCTAACATGAGATGTAATGGAGTGAGTAACTCAGATTTACATTAGCAAAGTTCAGGAAAATATAGATATGTATGTTACTACTTTATTTTCTGAGCAATACTTCATGTTCAAGAAAAAACAAACATACAGAATCTCTCTGGGACCTGGAGAGAGAAAGATGAAATGTGCCAATGTTAGTACATTAGTAAGTATCATGTAATGACAGTTGTTCACTGAAGATGTACAGGAGACTCAAATATTCTAGAAAAATACTAGAATCTGAGCTTAGAGAGGTGGTAGACAGTATGGAATGGGTAGAATGAAGAGTCATTTTTTTTTTAATAATTTCTGAACCAAAACACTCTACAACAGCAAGTAAGGATTGTTTTTATAAAGTTCCTCTGGCAAAGCACATGCAGATGCTTGTCTGTGTGCACATGTGTATGAGTGCATGAGTTCCTCTATGTGTGAGTGTGTGCATGTTCCTGGGTATGCATGCGCACATTCCTCCTTGGTGCTTGTTTGTACATGTGTGTGCATGTGTGTGGGTGTGAAAACGTGTGCACATATTTGTTTAACTGCTATCCTAACATGGCAAGATGTAATGGAATGAGCAGCACATATTTACATTAGCAAACATTTTTCAGGGTTTATACTGCTTTATTGGGCACATTTCCCTTATTGTATTTCTTCCCCATAGGCCTGGATCTTGTAATGTATCTGCTATTATTTTTGTCTGATTTCTATTATCTTGCTTATCCAAAGCTCAAAAACAGATCCAACACTTACCAATTTGCCATTCCTAGAAGTTCAGATGTCTAAATATTATGGCTTTTATAACAATGAATTGATCTAAAAAAATAAATGATAATACATTTTCATACCCAAATGTATAGCATTTTATCATGTGTTTTGCAAATGTATTGAAAGTATTGGTAGGTGTCATGGGTGGAGCTAACACTGGCATGGCAGTACAGAGGTGAAACCACTAACCACCTGCAATCCTACTGGCATCTTGTCACTACATTATTGCCTGAATCAGTGCTCCTCTTGCTTCACCACCATGGCTGCTGTGCTAATCACACTCTGATTTTCCTCACAAGTCAGGAAAGATTTAGGATGGACACAGCTAACATCCTCAAAAACCTTCTTCAAGCAGAGAGATTACTACAGGTGGTATTAGACCAATGTCTATGCAGAGCAGCTTGCATCCAAGTAGAGAGATAGTGTCTGCCTGGTTCTATGTCCCAGAAGAAAATCCCTGGTGCTCATAAGCTTCCCAATGCTGTTTTCTTGGTAGAGACATGAAAGTGGGAGTACCCTGAGAAGATGGACTTGGATTGAATAGAGGAGACAGGCTCAGCAGCAAGCTGATTGGGAACCAATGTAGCAGTTGTTAAACTTGTGAAATGGTGTCTCTAAAAATGGGAATATAACATTTAATATAAATGTTCCTTTATATTAAAAATTTTCACAGATTTTATTAGTCTACTATACACTAACCCCTTTGCCTGTCTAGTACATGTAGCCTTTAAAAAATCTATTTGATTACAGAATACTTTCTTAAGTGTTATAAAATGTGATTAGTGTTCTAAACACCACACATTGGGAAATACAATATTATTTATGGTTATACAATTATATATGGTTTGTTTGTTCGTATGTTTTTTGTTTTGTTTTGTTTTTGTTTTTGTTTTTTTGAGACAGGGTTTCTCCGTGTATTTTTGATTCCTGTCCTGGATCTCGCTCTGGAGACCAGGCTGGCCTCAAACTCACAGAGATCCACTTGGCTCTGCCTCCCAAGTGCTGGGCTTAGACATGTGCCACCACCGCCCGGCTGGGAAACACAATGTTCTTGACAAAGAAGGAAAACAATGACTGTAAACTTGGTTTCATAATGAAAGAAAGATAGCAAAAAATTTAAACAAGTAAAATTTGAAAACAGAAATTTCAACTTGTTCTAACCACAATGTGAATATAAGGATAAAGAGGTGATTTGATTTAAACAAATAAAAAGGAAGGATTTTAAATGTGGATCACGCATAGACATATCTAAGATAGAATATATGTGACCCTGAATTTTCAGGTTGTATCATTTCCAAAATATATTATGAAGCAAGCATTTTCATCTGTAGGATTGTTCACAGATTTGTCTATCTGTGGTAGATTAAAAACAACACACACACACACACACACACACACACACACACACACACACAAAAAAAAAAAATAGCTTCTTTCAATAACCAGCACCAAAGAAGCCAAGTTCTTAAAAATTCATTACTGGAAAAGAACTGTGGCACTTGGTGAAATAACTTCTTGCCTAATTTTACTTTTGATCTTCAATCCCTGTGAGATGTCTTAATAATGACTTTTAGAACAATTTACTAAATACACAGAACTCAGATGGGTGGGTGTGAAAAGAAAAAAATACCTGAAGCATCCTGCCTATCTTCTAGGAAGTATTGATCTCTTTAAGACCAGGACATTTTTCATTACTTGGCAAAAGAAACAGAATGGGATATGACAAGCACCAAGAAAAAGTAGAAGTAATAAATGATTGGATCTCCACTATTACCACTGGACATGATCAAATGAGACAATAAATAAACTAAGAAACACTTAAAAACTGAATTAATTCCTAAAATACTTAGAAAAAATAGCAAGC